GACCATCACATAGCACCTCATGGTTTCTACCTCTCTGGCTACCCCTTCTCTGTGTCCTTCACCTGCTCTTCATCTTAGTTAAGGCCATCTAGACACGTATTATCAATGACTCCATCCTGGGCACTCTTCTCTTCTCTCTCTGTACTTTGCATCTTGTCCATGTTCATGGCTTCAATAGCCACTCATTCACAAACTCCAAATTTATATCTCCAGCTAACACTGGAACTTCTGAGTTACAGTCCTATACTGTACATTCACTCCTACTTACAGATGCCCCAAATTTGTTTTGCAATTTAAGCCCAAGACTTCTCTCCCTGCATTAGAGCCACTGCTCTTCCAATGTCTATCGCAATGAGTGTCACTGCCATCAATTCAGTAGTGCAATTTGAGATCCGGAGTCGTTCTTGGTGCTTTTTTCTCCCTCCCCCTCCAGATTTTATGCATTACCAAATCCAGTCCACTTAACCTCTAAACATCTCTCAAACATATTCATTTCTCTTCTTTCATATTCCCACATCCCAAAGTCAAACCATCATTGTGTCCTGCCTAGATGACTTCAACAAGCACTTAGCAGATCCTCCTGCACCTGTTCTTGCCATCTTCCAGCCTATTGTCCTGCCGTCAAAAAAATATTTTCAGAGGGTTAATCTGATAATGGCTCCCAACACATCTCTGTGCCCCACTCAAGTCATTTAATGGTTTCTCAATGCTCTTTGGAGAAAGACCAAATCCTTATCCTCTATAAAATATCCTGCACCCTGCAGCTCCTAACCATCCTACAGCTTCTAGTCACATCATGCTCCCACAGCTCTCTGAATTCCAACTGCACTGGTCTTCTTTCAGTTCCTTGGCTATTCCAAGCTCTATCCAACCACAGGAAAGACTGAAACACAAATCCAGGGACCTCTCTTCTGTTAAATCCCCTCACAGAACCACATACTTCTTCGTCGTAAAACATATTAAAGCAGTAATGTTACATGTATGTATGTGTTTATCTGGTTGATGCCTATCTTTGCCACCAGACTATAAGCTTCATAAAGATGGGACCATGTTCGTTTTGCTCATCATTATATTCACAGTACCAATCACTGTGCCTAGCACATAATAACATACAATAAAAATGTGTCTAATGAATAACAATAATTGTATCAATTAGGTAATCAATAAATTATGTATTCTTAGATTTCTTCCTGTTTTAATATTTATATATTTATATACATATATTAGATGCACATATACATGCATATTAGATGACTAATATAGTTTAGATATTTGTCCCTGCCCAGATCTCATGTAGAATTGTAATCCCCAGTGCTGGAGGTGGGCCTTGTTGGGAGGTGTTGGGATCATGGGGGCAGATCGCTCACGGCTTGATGCTGTCTTTGTGTTACCGGGTTATTGCGAGATCTGGTTGTTTAAAAGTGTGTGATACCTCCTGCCCAACTCTCTCTCACTTGTCCTTGCTTTTGTTGTGTGATGTGCCTGCTCCTGCTTTGCCTTCCATCATGATTAAGAACTCCCTGAGTCTTCACTAGAAGCTAAATAGATGCCAGCATCATACTTTCAATAAAGCCTGCAGAACCATGAGCCAATTGAACCTCTTTTTTTGTTTAATAAATGACCCAGTCTCAGGTGTTTCTTTATAGCAATGCAACAATGGCCTAATACAATGACCTGTTGTCTGAAGCAGTTTTTCCTTCTATCTGCACTCAATTTACTCCATCCAAGATTCAAATTGTTTCCTTGTATGAAAATAATTTCAGGACAATTTGGTAAACAAGTCTATGTTTGTATTTTTTATTCAAGATGATTGAGGCTTCATCCTGATATCTGAAAAAATGACAGCACGTGTGCAAAAATGAGGATGCTAGAGAAGGTAGTTGTGAAACCGGAATGCTCTCTAGCAAGGTTTATAAGCCAAAACCAGGAGGGTAGTGTGCCAGTGCTTGCTCTGTCTTTATTCAGCAGCTTGACCATGGGAAAATCACTTCCTTCTCTGGGCCTTGGTTTCTTCATCTGAGAAATGAAAGCATTGTTCTAAATGGGGAGGCTTCTGCCTTCACCACGTGGCATGATTTATGAGAATGTCCATCCTACTGCCTGTCATTTCCATATAAAATCAGAATTCTCCCTGTGGGGAGAAGGTCTTTTTAGAGCAAAACCTCTTCTTCTCCATGGCTATATTTTTTTCTGGTAGTTCTTAACCTGCCACTTACAATGGGAATGTACCAAGAAAAATTGCACTTAGTCTCTGTAGAGTTCACCTTCTTCATTCTACCTGACACCCTTCCATTACGAGGGGGGAGAGGACTGTGTCTCATCTGCCAATAACTCATGTCTAGAAATGATGTAAATCAGAATAGCAGGTGCCATATTCTGGTGTACATTGTAAAAGGAAAGCCTCAGGGTCAGGAGTCAGGATAAATGTCCCAGATCCTCCACTTCCTGGCTATGAGCTTTGGACATGACCACTCAACTTCTGTGAGTCTCAAGTCTTTAACTAATAAAATATATATCTAACCATCTTACTTCACAGAGAGGCCATGAGGACCATATAGGACAGCATTTAAGAAAACAATCTGAAACATTGGGATGCAGTAAACATGGGTTTTTAAATGCCCAAAAGATGTCTCAAGGAAAAAAGGCATATAGAGTCACAATAATGCCAATATCATAGAAATTACACTTCTAGCAGCCATTTGGTGCCAACTCATAGGTGTCTTCTTCTCCACAGACCAAGGTCACAGCATCCCAAAACCTCTATTTCCCTCTAAGTGATCCTCTGAGATTTCAGGACTATTTAGTGAAGAAATCACTGTTTACTTTGCAGGATGAGAAATGATTGAAACTCACACATATTTGGAAAAATGATAGCACCATCCGCAAGTAAATATCCATAACAAATGCATAAAAGCATGTTCAAGATATTTTAATTCAAAGTATTATATAGACTGAAAAAAATATTATTTCCCCAAGAAAATGCACCTGCTGCTCTGGTCCAGTAATAACTTTTTTAGCACTATCTGAGACCAATTTCTCCAAGTTAACTTGTGGTTAGTAGAATGAAAACCCTTATATATAAGATCTATTGATTTTCAGTAATGGTGCCAAGACCATCAGTGGGGAACGGACAGTATCTTCAATGAATGGGCCTGAGAAAACTGGATATCCTACATGCTAAAGGACCAACTGGGTCGTTACCTTATCTTACCTTACCTTATACTACATGCAGAAATCAACTCAAAGTGGAATAAAGAAATAAAACTATAAAGCTCCTACAAGAAAACACTGGGCAAGAGCTTTATAACATTGCATTTGTCAATATTTCTTGAATGTGACACCAAAAGCACAAGCAACAAAAGAAGAAATAGACAAATTGGACTTTATCAAAATTGAAAACTTTATGCACTAAAGGAAGAGAGACTGAAAGACTACCAAGAGACTGAAAAGGCAACCCAAAAAAATGGGAGGAAGTATTTGCAAATCACATATCTGGTAAGGAATTAATATCTAGCATATATAAAGAGATCCTACAATTTAAAAAAAAAATGAGCAGCCCGATTCTAATCTGTTTGAAAGATCAGAATAGATAGTTTTGCACAGAAGATATACAAATCGCTAATCAGTACCAAAAGATGTGCAATGTCACTAGCCACTAGGGACATGCAAATCAAAGCCACAAGATATAATTTCACACTTATTAGGATTGCCATTATCAAAAAATAAAAAATACATAATATGTTGGTAAGGTTGTAAAGAAATTGGAAGCTCTGTACATTTCTCATGGGAAAGTAAAACGGTGCAGTCACTTTGAAAACACTTTGGTAGTTCCTCAAAAAGTTAAGCATAGACTTACTACATGGTCCAGCAATTTCACTTGTAGATATATATCCAAAAGAACTGAAGATAAAGAATCAAACAGATGCCAATATTCAAAGCAGTATTATTCACCATAGCCAAATGTGGAAACAACTCAGATGTCCACCAGCAGATGACTGGATAAACAGAATATAGTATATACATAAAATGGAATATTATTCAAGCCTAAAAAAGAATAAAGTTCTGACACATGCTACAATATGAATGAGTCATAGATAAATATTACGCTAAGTGAAATAAGTCAGATATAAAAGGACAAATATTATATGAATCTACTTACATGAGGTAGCTAGAATGGGCAAATCCACATAGACAGACGGTAGACTAAAGGTCACCAGGGGCTGGAGGGAGGAAGAAATGGGGGTTAATGTTCAACAGGTGCAGAATTTCTGTTTGGGATGATGAAAAGTTCTGGAGATGGATGACAGTAATGTTTGCATAAAAATATGAATGTACTCAAATATACCTAACATTTACCATTTTAAACACTTTCAAGTGTACAATTCAATGATATTGAGTACATTCATATTTTTATGCAAACATCACTGTCATCCATCTCCAGAACTTTTCATCATCCCAAACAGAAATTCTGCACCTGTTGAACATTAACCCCCATTTCTTCCTCCCTCCAGCCCCTGGTGACCTTTAGTCTACCGTCTGTCTATGTGGATTTGCCCATTCTAGCTACCTCATGTAAGTAGATTCATATAATATTTGTCCTTTTATATCTGACTTATTTCACTTAGCGTAATATTTATCTATGACTCATTCATATTGTAGCATGTGTCAGAACTTTATTCTTTTTTAGGCTTGAATAATATTCCATTTTATGTATATACTATATTCTGTTTATCCAGTCATCTGCTGGTAAATAAAATGCCAACTAGAGGTGCCACATCATGGAAAATTGTTTTTCTGTCACTTGATATGGAAAGTGGTTATGTTCTATTTACTGAAAAGTCTTCAAGCTCAGGGAGGAAAGGCAGAATTCATAGAAAAGAGCCAGTGCCTGAATTTCCCAGTGCCCCTTGCAGCCTTTACTCATGCTCATCAATCTAAGGTTTTCTGCAATCAATTTTCTTCTTTCCCCCTTTCAAATGCTTTTCATGATGTCAAATAAGGATGTCAAGCTTCAGCAGCCTTGCATCTATGGATAAATGAGATGTCACTCCAGCTGCAGTCCTTGTCCAGATCTGTACAGTAAAGAGCAAAGTGGAAAACCAACTCAAGACTTTGAGTAAGTTTGGGGAAATAAAAGACACCCGTCCTTAGGGGCTGGAGGAGGGGAGACAGCCCAGAGAGAGGGGCAAGAAAGAAGAAAGAAGTCGTCCAGATGATGAAAACATTTTAGAACTTGATGTGAAATTTCCACATGGTGCTAGTTACATGTATGTTTACTTTAGGATTATTTATAACATATACTTTATGTAATATTTTGAATGTTTCCTAGAGCTTGCCAAAAAAAATTGCCTTAAAAATGTATAATTAACAAGATTGTTGACAAATTGAGTATAATAAATGAGGAAGACAAAGTCATTGAGGAAGTTCCCAATCTTCCTGTCTGGATGAGTTTTCTGTCTCTCAAACCTGCTGCCTGTTTACTCACTCTTAGGAGTTAGTTCTTCACAATGGAAATGACATCAGTTCAAAGTGTTAGTCTTTACCTTTCACTCAATCTAACTCATCTCAATGCAGTCCCTAGGGAAAAGAATGAACCCTAAACTAAAAACAAAAATATTACTGTAGTGATAGCCTTAAATTTTATACTCTCATGACTCATGGAGCAGATTTCCCAGTACTTTGTAATCAAAGCAAAAAATGCAAATCTTCCAACAACAACAAAAAAGAGGTACTCCAATAATGGCCTTTTCCCTCTGCCTTGTAGGGGAGCGACATACAAAACACATAATGTGAAACAATGCAAATCTGAATGGTACAAAATCCCCGTGAAAGAGCTGGATGTTAACAGTTGGCCCAGGGATAATTCTCATCTTCCAATGGAGGAGCACAGCTTCCGTTTTCCATAACAGAACAGCCAGGGCAGCTGGAAGGCAGGGCTGCATTCCAGACTTCCACCAACAATGGTACTCATCAACATCTGGAATCACAACCACAGCAGATCTAAGAGACCCACCAGCCTCATGACAAGCTTCTGTTTTCAAAGAAAGGTATCAGTCTGGGGGACCTAGTGCTGAGAACCATAAATTAAGTGTGGCATCCCTCACTTGCCTAATGGAACTCAGTGATTTTTTTTTAATTAACAACAGTTATTTTTATGTAAGCTTTTCTCATTCCTTACTGTGTGTGCTGGGGGGCTGGTGGTGAGGAAAAAGAAAACAGCTGTGCGGGAAGCATCAAAAAAAGGCAGGACATTCGATCTTAGAGGTCAGTGACATGTAAGAAAAAGAGTGAGGAGAAAAGCATTCCTACTAAATTTTTCCATTTGTTTACCTTCCATGTCACAGACTTCCAAGAGTTAGAGGTCTAGAATTTGATCTCCAAATCTTTTTTTTAAATTGCCTTTTAGGTTTTGAGGTACATGTGAAGAACATGCAAGATTGTTGCATAGGTACACACATGGCAGTGTGATTTGCTGCCTTCCTTCCCCTCACCTATATCTGGCATTTCTCCCCTTGCTATCTCTCCCCAACTACCCACCCCCACTGCCCCTCCCCTATTCCCCCCCAACACAGACCCCAGTGTGTGATGCTCCCCTCCCTGTGCCCATGTGTTCTCAATTTTCGTGACAGATTCCTCATCTTCATTTCATTCATATAGTCCAGGGGTTTGTACAAAGGAAAATGTTATTTCTTCCTCAATCATAAGATATCAAAAGATATTCTTTTGAAACATAACAAAGCAAGTCTAAAGTTCATCTGAAAAAAATAAATGGGTAAATATATTGACAAATCTTTTGGCAAAATAAATGTAATGAGGAGATACTAGCATTAGCCTCATCGGGCATTAAAATATATCATAAAGTAATAACATGTAAAACAACATGGGGCTGGCACTGAAACTGACAGACCAATTAAAGAGAATAGACAAGCTAGAAGCAAATCTTGATGTATGTAAGATTTTAATTAATTTAAAAGATGGTAACGAAAGATAGGATTGCGTTAAAAACTGTTTTGGTACAATTGATTAACTTTTCATAAACTGAATCAGCTCTTACTAGATATTGCTCTAAGACACTCACTGACCCCAAGTGTCCCCCAGCTCTGAGTTTCCCAGTTGTATGACACAGCTCTGGTCCTCTCCATCCTGGCCTCCCACCATTGTCTCTGCAGCCCCCAACCTTCCTGAGATCACAGCTCCTATGGACACCTTTACCCTCTACTGCTAGCATCACTCGTGGGCAAGGAGAACTCCACCCTCCCATGAGCTTCTTAGGTCAAAGTGTGATCACAGGTCTCCATAACTCCCATAGCATACCCAGGCCATCTGCCAGTATCTGGGATGTCTTTATTAGAGATGGTGGTCATCAGACGTTAATGGGGAGGGAGGGATGAATAAGCAGAACATAAAGGAATTTTAGGGCAGTGATACTACCCTGTATACTACAATGGCGGATATATGGCATTTTACATGGTCCAAACCCATAGATTATATTGTTAAAGAAAAAATTATTCTGACACTTGTTAAAACAATAATGAACATTTTATTCAGGACTATTATGATAGGTGTCAAGACTTATTACAATAGGCGAGAGAATTCGGGCTCAATTCTAATACAACAAAGACAGCTGAGGACTCATAGCCCATGAATAGAATGAGGGAGTCAGTGAGTGGAAAATTCCTAAGGGGAGAAATCAAGAACAGACATATTCTTGTTCAATCAACTTAGGGTTCTTGCTAAAGGCAGACCAGGGTGACCAGATATCAAGAGTAGGAGAAGAGGAATTTTATCATATATCCAAGGTGATCAGATTTCAAAGGTGCAGAAATTCTCACTAAACTGACCTAGCAAGATTCTTTTTTTTTTTTTTTTTAATTAACAGAGTCCCGCTCTGTTGCCCAGGCTAGAGTGCAATGGCACTATCTTGACTCACTGCAACCTCCACCTCCCAGGTTCAAGCGATTCTCCCACCTCAGCCTCCTGAGTAGCTGGATTACAGGCACGCACCACCACACCTGGCTAATTTTTTTGTGTTTTAGTAGAGACGGGGTTTCACCATGTTGCCCAGGGTGGTTTCAAATTCCTGAGCTCAGGTAATCCACCTGCCTCAGACTCCCAAAGTCCTGGCATTACAGGTGTGAGTCACCACACCTGGCCACAAGATTCTTACTAAGTAAGACTGAGTGATGCAGGCTCAGCAAGGACAGGATGGAGGCCCAGGTGGAGGCCTAGTCAAGAAGAGAACTCAGAGGAGCAAAACAGCAGCTTGTTCAAGCATCAGGAGTCTTTGTCAGTATAACACTGATGGTGAGCTGTAATGTAAACTATGGATTTTAGGTGGGAACAACATGTCAATGTAGGGTCATCTGTTGTAACAAATGTCCCACTCTGCTGCAGAATGTCAATAGTGGAGGAGGCTCTGCATGTGTGTGGTCAGGGTAATGTAACAGAACGGAACTCTGTTTTCTGCTCAATTCTGCTGTGGACCTAAAACTTCTCTAAATATTAAAGTCCAAAAAAATTGTTTTAATTAAACTGTTTTTTTTTTTTTAAAAAAAAGGAAATATGAAATTGGAATGTCCCTGACTACAGCACAGGTAGCAAGACCAGCCCTATGCCCATCACGAGGCAAGAAGTTTCAAGCCAGATCACTAGCTCTGATGCCAGTCAATCCCAGGAGACTGGATGATCTTTGCCATGCCCAATAGGAGGAGTGCTGGTTGTTTCACGCATGGCCCCTCTGTTCTATAATATCTCTCCACTTATCCTCTGTTCTGTTGAAAACACTTTGGATTGGCTATCCAAGAACCACTCATAACCCCTTCCCACTTGCTTTAATAAGGGCTATAGGGAAGGGGTTCTGGGAATGTTTTTAAAGGCCACAGACTGAACTGGTAGACCCCCTTTAGCATGTTGCCCTTTCTCCAGTCATCTTGCCTAGAATGTGGATGTAATGTCCATCTTGTGACTCTGAGGATGAAAGCCACAAGCCAAAGACAGAAGAGTGCAAAGAGAGAAACAGGCTGGGATACCGATGACATTGTGAACTCTGGACTGCCTATCTCTAACTATGTTTTGCTTGAGAAAAATAGATACTTTGTTTAAGCCCTGTAAGGATTTTGTCACTTTCAGACAAACATAATGCCAGTTGTTATCCTTTTCCACTCCCCAAATGGGTGCCAGGGGCAAACTTGCATAAATATCCAAGTTGGATGCTGGGACCCCTAATTTTTTAATGTGGTTTTTAGTGGGAAAGCATTATTTCTCTCCACACTGCAGCACTTCCTACTAGGTGAAAACCTGTGCTTGCGATGAGTCTCTCTTCCTGCTTCCAGAGTTCTGCTTTTACAGATAGGCAATAGTAGGAGAGGATATTAATTGTGATAGGACTTATGCTATTTCCCTCTCATTAACAATTTTTAAAATATTTAAGAAGAATGTGGGATATTGCATCTGAAAAAGACTATTGACTAAACATGGCTTGGACTATGGGTGGTCTGTGGGTTCTTCACATGTACCCCAAAACCTAAAATGCAATAAAAAAAAAAGAAGTAATTTTTTAACATAAAAATCAGTTCACTTCTCTAGTCCTCTACCTTCTGTGGTAGATTGTATTAGTTCTTTTCCCCATTGATATTGGGCTTGGTCAAGTGACTTGCTTTGACCAATGGATGTGAGCAGGGGTTTTCTGCATGCTTGCTGGCTTGGCTTTCCCTCTTGTCTTTCTGCTATCTGCCATTAGCAGAGCATGCTCTGGCAGCTTCCATCTTGGAAAGCAGAGGCAGTTGAAGCCATCAGGAACCCAATCTTCAGTTTGGAGCAGAGCCTCCACAACTGACCCACAGAACCATAAGTAAAAAATAAACTTGGTTCTTGTAAACCATTGAAAATTTCAGATTCCTTGTTATCCAGCATTGGCAGTAATAGTTCACTAATACACTTTCAATGTCTTTCAGCTCATTCTGAGTAGAAAGTCAAAAGTTTTCAGAGTGATTCAAAAGAATCCTCATATTCTGGCTCCATTTACCTTTCTGACTTCATCTTCAAGTACTTTTTTCTCTTCTTACTCTGCCCCAAATATACCATCCTGCTTGTTCCTCCTCAACATGCCAGATGTGTTTCTGCCTTAGGTCTTTTCACTTGCTGTTTCTCCTGCATAGAACACTTTCTCCAAATTCCTGCATGGCTTATTTGTTAATTTCCTTGTTTTAAAATACTTAAAGAAAGGAAGACTTTCTTTAAGTCATCTCAGTGAGGAGTTATCTGACCATCTGACTGTAAACTGCATTCCCCAGTACTCAGCAGCCCCTTCTTTGATTTACTTTTCTATTTAGCACTAATCATCATTTTTCCATTCTCTTCCCACCACCCCACTACAGGACAGAGACTTTATTTTATTCACAGCAGCATACCCAGGATCTAGTCAGAGCAGTACCTGGCACATAATAGGCACTTGCTGATTATTCATAAGTGAACAAAGAGATAAAGGAACAAATTTAAAATCTCAACATAAAAATTTGTAAATAATTCTTAAATTATTTAATAAAATATTACATTTTTCTTTAATAAGTAAAAACAATATGCAAATGAAATTTATTTAAAAAATAGATGGTTAGAAAAAGAACTATAGGTGCTCTTATTTGTAATCAAAAGACTAGGAATTAATATTACAGAGAGGTATTCCATCTCCTTTCAAATTGGCAAATGTTTTAAAGTATTATAATATGATGGAAATAATTCCCTTTGTCTGGTACAGGTATTCTCACAGACTGTGGTTGGAGATATGTGGAGATTCATCCCCTTGGGAAAGTAATCAAATGTCTCTATATCTTTACACCTTTACATCATTAGTCTAGTAATTTCCCTTCTAGGAATCCTTCCCAAAGAAGAAATCAGTGTTGGTGGCAAGAAATCACATACCAAAAAGTTTCTTATAACATTATTCATAATAACACAAATTCAGAAAAAAATCAATCAATAATAGGAGGACCATGACATGAATCATGGTATATTTTTAGAAATTTTTTTATGTTTTTTACTTTTTTGATACATAATACATTCATATATTTATGGGGTACAAAGTATCACATATACCCCATAAATATTTATGGGGTTTTTGTAAACCATTAAAAATTTGGGATTTTCTTGATCTAAAGAAATCCATCCTTGACAAGCACAAAGTATCACATGTACCCCATAAATATTTAAAATGTTATATATCAGTTATGCATAGAATGTGTCCTGATCAAGTCAGAGTATCTGGGTGTCTATCATCTTCAGTATTTGCCACTTCTATATGTTGGGAACATTTCAAGTCCTCTCTTCTATTTTGAAATATATAATACATTGCATAGTATACCTGAATTTAAAATAAAAGTTAAAAAAATGCAGAGATGCCAGAGGCTTACATGAAGTCACTTTGCACCACCAAAGGCCCATTGTAATCCACTCCAGTTAACAGAGACAGTGGGAGTAGGTGAATGCAGGGGTGGGGCTGGGGAGTGTAAATGATAAAGCTGGGGTTTAGAGGTGGGGAAACATATGACACTCTCAAATGATCATCTTATTTTCTCTATTTCGCTCCGTGCCAAGAAGGCACATTTTTACCTAGTAAGGGAAGGCAGAATGGAGCGAAGGAATGTGGCTGTCAGTCAATGTTGATGTGTCATTCCCTGCTTTTACACCTCTACACCCCAACACAATCCCCAACTTTCCTCTGCCCACTGGGAGACCCCACCTGGCCTTTGTGTGCCACAGTTCCCTTCATAAAAATTAGCTCCCCCGCCATACACACTGACCTTGACATGGACATTTCCTGAGCCCTGAGCTGAGCCCAGCCCTCTTCCTCCCCCTTTCCAGTAAGTTTTAGGGGGTCATGACCATGAGATGCTGGACCAGGATGGTAAGCATCAAGAAACAGGGAAGAAGAAGAGGTGTGAAGTCTGCCTTCTGCTCTGCTGGGATCATTTTCACATCTCCTTTGCCTCCACGCAGTTTTGGTTCCTGGCTGTTTCCAGGTGTGACTTGCAATCAGAATGGTAAGCATCTTCTCTCCTTCTCAGAGTAGAGGATAAAGACCTCATCTCATAGCTCTCCATGAAGGGAGCTCCAGAGAGAGGTCTAGAACTTCCAGCACAAACTGCTAAAGAAACTTCATGAACTGTTGGAGAACCTGGGAAATGACTGATGACAGGGACAGAGCTCAAATAGTCTGGGACACTCTAGTAGCTGAGAAAGTTCCAACTCCAGGGTGATAGAGGACTGCCTGGCAAACCATCACCAAAGCAGAAGACCTGGTACAAACATGACAAGCTGTGGTTTATTACTGAGAATCAGTCCGTACACCCTGCCAGAGGTTCAGAAGCAAATTTGTCATCATTCTCCCTGGAAATGTTGGCCCACATTCTGAAAAGCATGGTCAGTAGTAGCAACAGAGATCTGTTCTTGCCAAAGACAATGTCACCGTACCCAGCCCTTCCCCCTAGAACAACCCAATAGGTGCTTCCTGGCTGCAAACTTGGGGAAGTGACTTGACCTGAGATTCCGCTTCCTAATTTGACCTGGTGAAGACAAGAATCACGGTTTATTTAAAGTGTCTAGCACAGTGCTTGGACCAAAATAGGACCTCCAAAATAGTTATGGTTGTAGTTTGTTGTTAAGGTGATGTTTTAAGTGCTGATGAGTACAAAGATGGATAAGATACTTCCTTCTGTTAAAATCTGCACTCCAAAGAGAGAGAACAAGATGAATGCACAATAACTATCATTCAGAACAGGATTATGAGAAGGTGTGAATTTCTGTCAAAATTCAGAAGGGGGAGGAATATGATCCCAGGTGATTGGCAAGGGGTGGGGGCCGGATTCAGCTGGGCAGGGAGCTAGCAGGGAAGGCTTCCTGGAAGATGAGAGTTCAACAGGGGCAGGTGTAGGATGTGGGTGGCCAAGTGATTGGGCAGAAGGAGCTGCAGAAGTAAGACCCCAAGTCAGGAAGACAAGGGCCTGCTGAGAAACATGAGTTATAAAGTGCAAGTGCAGGAAGAGTTGGGATGAGATTAGAAGGGGGTCTGGGGCCAGGCTGTGGAAGGCCCAAATGCCGGGCTAAGGAATTTATACTTAATTCAGTGGTCAATGTGGAGTCATTGGAGGCTGTTGAGCAGGAGAGTTGCTTTCTTTACAGCGGTGCCAGACTAAATTAAACCTAAACAGTACTTTATAGCTGGAAAGGGAAGACCCAAGAATAGCTCTTGACTCAGAAACAGGCATTGCGGAAAGTAATGAAAAACAGCCCTGACTAATCAAAGCAGAGAGGTTAATTAAATTTGTAATTATTGTGAAAGGCCATTAAAAACCCTAGTTCACTAGAGATAACTGCTGTAGTGGGGCTTGAAAGACGAACACATCTCTTAACCTTGGATAGGAGGATATTTGCTTCTCTGTGGAGGAGATAAGATTAAGGTACTTAATAAATGGTAGATAAACATGCACATGTGTGTGTTCTCTGTAAACCCACTCTCCATCCCTGCATTTATCCTTTATCTATGTAGGGTACTCCACAAGAGGTATCCCCAACCCCCAGGCCATGGACCACCATGGGTCCATGACCTATTAGAAACCAGGCCCCACAGCAGGAGGTGAGCAGAAGGCAAGCAAGCAAAGTTTCATCTGTATTTACAGCCGCGTCCCATTGCTCACATTACTGACTGAACTCCGCCTCCTGTCAGATTAGCAGCAGCATTAGATTCTCAAAGCAGCATGAATCCTATTGTGGACTGTCCATGTGAGGGATGTAGGCTGTGTGCTCCTTGTGAGAATCTAATGCCCGATGATCTGTCACTGTCTCCCATCACCCCCAGATGGGACCACCTAGTTGCAAAAAAAAAAAAAAAAAAAAACTAAAAAAGAAAACCTCAGGGCTTCCACTGATTTTACATTATGGCGAGTTGTATAATTATTTCATTATATATTACAATAATAGAAATAATGTGCACAATAAATATAATGTGCTTATGCCATCCCAAAACCATTCTCCCACCCTGTTTGTGGAAAGAATTGTCTTCCGTGAAACCCATCCCTGGTCCCAAAAAGGGTGGGGACTGTTGCTCTATAATATCAGGTCAGTAACTCTCCAAAGGAATTTTGTACATGACAGATCTCTAATCTTGACCCCTTATCTATCAGGCAGGTGCCTAGATAACTCAACTTGCTCCATACTCCTAAAGCTTCCCATAAATTATTCAAATGTATTTCCATTCTGAATTGTTCCATGGTGGCTTTGAACAAGCAGTAGATTATATTAGTGATCTACTAATAGACCAATGGGGACTAGTGGACAGCTCACCATAGACAGTGTTGATGGAACTGGCCCTGAATCCCACCATCACCTTGAGCAAGTGTCTACACAACATGATCACAGATGTGCAGGATAATACTACTGTCTTGACATGTACATTACTTTGTGGTTTATACAATATTTTCACTTCTCCTGTCTCATTAGAGATACAATTTATATTCCCATTAACCCACTGAGGAAACTGAGGCTCAGAAAGATGAAGGCATCTACCCAAATTTATACTGCATGTTAGTGTCCAGAAAGACTAGAAACCAGATCTTATTTTTTAGCTCAGTGCTCTTTCAGCTACATCAAAGTGTATTTATTGGCACTTACAAATTACATAGTATAATTTTTGGCCCATCTCCTAAAGCCTAGCTGGTAAGAGAAGATGAATAAGAAAGCAATAAAGTGAAAATGAATACACATCAGACTTTATGGTCATGGTGAGTTTCGAGAAGGGAAAAGCCAAAGAAAGGCTTCCTGGAGGAGATGTGAAATTCTGCTGCTGCAGCAGAAACCCAAATTCTAAAAAGCTTAAACACATCAGAAGTGATTAGTCCCATGTGTCTAAATGTAAGCACCTAGGGATGATACAGCATAGAGCTTCTATGGCAGCTCCATGCTGTTGGAGATTCTGTCCCTTCCTGTGATTCTCTGCCTTCTTAGTGTACAGATGTGCATACACACAGCTTAGTGAGTTCAAGCCCTGCCCACATCCCAGTCCCAGAAAGGGGAAAGGAAAGAGGATTCCCTTCCCTTTAAGAATACAATCCGGAAGTTATACAAAGTTGCTCGTGAATGATCTTGTTTTGTTACTAGAGAAACTGGGACTTGTGGTCTTTGTTCTGGCCAATCACATTCCCAGCTAAAATTCTATCACTGTGAAAGAAGACGGAATGATTATTGGAGAATAACCAGCAATCTTGGCCATGTGCAGGAGGCTCAGCTGAGCCTTTAGCAATGGGCCAGAGTGGGGGTAGTGGCACAGGGCCAGTGATTTGGGGATGAGGAGGGGAAAAAGAGGGTATCCCAAGCAGGCTGGACTACATGATAAAGACCTGAGAGGTTCATCCTAGGCACAGTGAATAAACGTATCAGAAATGGCAGCTGAAGTAAGGAATAAAACCAGAGGTGTTCATTGGAGCTAGACAGATAATGAGCCTTGATGGTCCATCAAGATGATTCTCAGGGAAATTGTGTCTAAGGAAAATGTGTTGGTTGGGACAGCAGATGATGAATTACATGGGTTAGTGATGGGAGTCAGGAAGACCCATTCGCAGGCTCTTTCAACAACCTGCCCATAAATTGATAAAGACTGCCCAGGACAGATGCTCTGGATTGAGAGAAGGGGTGGCATGAGAGTGTTCCAAAGAAGAACAACAGGGCTTTGTTTCTGTTGGGCTATCGGGGTGAAGGTGCCTGGGAAGCTGCCTCCTTGACATACATTCTCTAGGGCTCCCCATGTACCCAGGCATCCTTCCTGCCTGTGTTCACAGCACATGATACCAACATCACATTCAATAACACATACTTTGTTCAACATAAGCTTCATGTGGGCACAAAACTTGGCACATGGTAGATACTCAGCCAGAATTTGTTGAATGAATGGCTGAATGAATAAGTAAGTAAAACTCAGGCACAGAACATGCTGGATACTGCACCCAGCAGAGGCCATTAAAATATTCTAGGAAAAGTCAGCTATCACATCTTTAGGATTTTGCCCAGAAAAAAGACTTACATGAAGTGTTTTCTGCAAACTGTCATAGTAACAGCAGCCATTCGTGACATCACGGAGTGAAATGGGACATTACTCTCTGAGCCAGTTTCTTTAGCTCAAACCCACAGAAGAAAATGCAGACACCAGGTAAGCCTGACTGTGTATATTCTGATCTTATTTTCTTCTTTTAAGTGCCCAGATTTCCTGAACTGGCTAGGTGTGGGTAGTTCCACTGCAATCGTTATTCCTGGGGCTTTCTTACATACTCCAACTTCCATTCCGTGAATGAATCAAAAGGAGGTTGCCTTGACGACCACTCACCTCTCTCTCCTCAAGCACCCTGAACAGCCTCAAGTGCTTCATTGAGATAAAAGCCCACAGAACACCCAGTCTCAGGACCTCTGATGACGCACAGCAGCTGAGAGGCTAACCTGAGAGGTGCTGCTGTGGATAAAAGCCCTAAAACTCTTCCTCCCCATCATATTTCCTGTCAGCTACTGCAGCCATTCACACTGACAGGTGAGCACTAGATGCAGTTCTGCCAAAGAGAAGCCAACATTAAGAGGCTCTTTGCCAATGGGCCCATGAACTGTTTGTTTCAGATAACTATGGCATTGTGACATTAGGTAACAGACTCATCAAACCCTTTCTGTGCCACTTAACGTGAGCAGTATCTTGTTCCAGCAGCCAGAAGTCTGTTATTTCACAAGTCCCTGGGTGTTCTATTCTGAGCTTCAGTAGAAGGGTAGGAGTCCCATGGCAGCCTTTGAATCCAAGATTTTAATATCTAAAACACCAGAATAAAAAGCTCCAAACCCAGCCTCAGTTTTACATTTCCATAATGTGAACCCAAGCAAAATCTATAAATTTAT